GCCCTCCCCGGGCTCGCGCTCCGTCACCAGCCTCTCCAGCGTGCCTGTGGCTGGCTTCTCCTGCAGCACCAGTTTGCCCCCGTGCCGCTTCTCCTCTAGCCCTGGGCCCTGGGGGTTGACCTTGGGGTTCCCGCAGCCCTGGATGACCTGCGGAGACCCACAGGGTCCTGGAGGGGCAGTGGGGGCCCTTGTGCCCAGAAGAGGGCACATCTGTGGCACCCCTCCCCTCGCACCACCCCTTCCCACACCTTGGCCATGAGCGTGTCCCTGTTGTCCTGGAGGGCGTCGATGGCTTCTGCCAGCCACACGTGGACACTGCCGATGACACGCTCTGCACCCGCCGGGCCCCAGAACTTGTCAGTGATGAGCACCATGGAGTCTGCACAGGCGTTAAGTGCACCCCATCACCCTGTGTGCATGTCATGATGCTCACAGCACAGGCCAGACGCACGACAGCAGGGAGGCCCCGTGAGCACACGCTTGGGTGGGCCAAGTGCACTGTGGTACAGGCGTGCCCATGAGCACGGTGCTTGCTGGCCACCTCACGTCCATAGGCATCCATCAGCCCACGTTACGGGAGCTGACATGCAGGCACCTGCTTCCACCTGCACCAGCCCGCGCACTCCCTTTCCCGTGTGTGCATGTGCATGTATGTGCAGCACACATGTAAAGCCACCAAGTGTGCATGCTGGTGCACACCGCCACTGCACACACATCAGCACGTGCACAGCTGGCACCCCGTAGGGTGGCACACAAGCGTGCTGGCTCCCTCGTGCCCATGGATGGACGTGTCAGGACACACACCCCATCTGCACGTTGCACTCCATGCCACACGTGCATGGAGAAGCACGTCCACGCTGCTGTGTGCACTTCCTGGCCTGCTGCGTGTTGGCACGTGCATGCAGCGTGCCCTCGTGTGGGTGTGCAGAGGCGGTGTCCTGTGCACGCACCGGCCCTCAGGGGGAATGACAGGGCTGTCTCCACAGAGCTCCCCCCAGCAGCTGTCCCAGATCACACACCACTCGGAATGTCCTTGCCCCCTCCACCCCACAGCGCCACCAGGCCTGGCTCCTCCGAGCCCTGGCCCAGCAGGTGCTCCTAGGACAGGCTGGGCCTTGGGCAGGGAAGGGCTCACCCAGGAGGTTCCTCCACTCAGCGTCCAGGTCGGCCTGGTTGGCGAGGCAGCCCTTGAGCACGTTCCGGCAGTAATCTGGGCAGGGCCGGGCACCTGGGACCCCCAGGCAGTGCGCACAGTAGGCCAGCTTCATGACAGCCCGCGAGCACTCGGGACCCAGGGGCACCTGGGAGCAAAGGCAGCCTCAGTCTGGTCCTGCAGGGCCCCTGTCCAGCTCAGCTGCATGGAGCCCAGCACAGGGGGTTCTGGGGGGTGACTGTCCCAAGCAAGGTGGGATCTTGCCTGACTTGGTCCTTTGGGGTCCCAGGGCACTCATTCTAGGGACAGGGTAGGCACTCCAGCACACCGTGGTCTCCAGCCCTCACAGGGCCCCAAACACCCCCATGGCCCATGCAGTGAGGAAACGAGGCTTGGATTCCTCGGTGCTGTGTGAGCCTGGGGCTGGTGCCCTCTCGCTCCGGTCCCAGCGGGTCTGAGTCCCTGCAGCTGGGACAGCACCACTCTGGCCCTGCCCCTCCCACCCAGCCTGAGTGGGTAGCCCCAGGTGCAGGCACAGACACCTGGCAGCAGCCACAGAAGGGGACCTGTGGCCGAAGGGCTGAGTGGGGGGCGGGGATAGATCTGAGGGCCTTGGGAGGGGTTTGGGCAGCTGTGCACACCTGGGCCACCTTCCGGACCACGTCACCAGCGACGCCTAAGCCCTGCGTGAAGGAGCGTGCGGCCACAAAGGCACGGGTGGCGCGCAGGCGCAGCTCCCGCGGGGCCTCCCCAAAGGGCCGCAGGGCCTCGGCCTGCTTGCCCAGGCAGTCCAGGTAGTCATCGGGCAGCAGCAGCTGCGGGTGCAGCTGTCTGAAGAGGCGCTCGAGCAGGCGCGCCCAGAACTCAGCCAGCGTCTCCTCCAGGTGCAGGTTGGCGCCGCGGTAGTAGAGACGCAGCTCGGAGTAGAGGTCGCGCACGGCCCTGGCATTCTGCGTGTACAGCTCTCCAAAGGCGCCCGGGAAGGTGTCCTGCAGCGCGCGCTCTGAGCCGTTCAGCAGCTGCTGGAAATAGTCTGTGTGCAGGGCAAGGCGTGAGGCCGAGGCGCTGCACCTCAGCTGCGGCCTCAGGGCCTCTGATTGAGGCCACTTCTAGGCTGGGCCTTGAGCAGAGAGGACAGGTGCTCCTGACTCAGCGACCCCGGGCAACACTAGTGGCTGCTGCTAGCGTGGGCCACGTCCCCACCGTGGCTGCTCCACTCCTTCCCCAGCGCCCACGGCCCAGCCTCACCTGCCCTTCTTCGCTGAGATTCTGCCCTCCCTGCACTGCCTTCCCCCTTCTCTGGGACCTGCTGGTCCAGGGACCCAGAGCCTCCCTCTTAGCACACCCTCCTCAGCAGCCTAAGGGCTTGGGATGGCCTCCAGCCTGGGGGCATAGACACCTCCTCTAGGCAGTCCTCCTCACACTTGGCTGTGAAGTCTGCCAGGTGCCAGGGTGTGTGTTAGTGCCACAGGCCGGAGGTCCAGGGAATATCCTGGGCTCGGAGTGCCTGGGCCAGGGCCGCCAGCCCTCACCCCCTTTGGAAGCGAGACTTTAGGGTCTGTAACTGCTCAGCTGTCTGAGAGCCATGCCACCCCTCCCCCAGGGCTCAACAGCCCCCACTCGGGTGCTCCCGGGGCACCCTTGCTCCAAGGGAGGGTGGAGGTGGGCCCAGAGTCTCCCAAACAGCCCCAGCCCTGCCCCTGCGAGGCCTGGCCACAGGAGGGTGGGCATTCTCAGCTCCTGTCTCAGCACCCGCATGGGGCCTGGGTCACCCCTAAAGGGCACTATGCCCAGGCACAGCTCCACTGCTGTCTGCTGACCAGGCCTGAGCAGCTGCCCTGAAAGCTGGGGGGGCAGGTGAGGGACACAGGGCCGAGTCCTTGCGGCACAGCGTATGGCTGGGCAGACTCGCCCCTGCAGGCACCCAGAGCAGGCTGAGGACCCACATCCACGGACCCTGACAAGGCTGCTCCGAGGTAGAGGAGCAAGCAGCAGGTACCACGGGCCAGGGTGGGAGGTGGGCAGGTGAACGGGTGGAGGGTAGAGGCGCCTTAGGGCTGTGAGCGTCTGTTCTCATGCCACAGCCAGGAAGGCCCAGGCAGGGCGGCAGAGGCTGCAGGGCAGAGGCCCACGGCCTGGCTGACAGGAGCCCCACCACAGCCAGGAGGCAGGCATGTCCGTGCAGGATGGTGATGTGCAGTGCGGGCGGGGCCTGGACAGACCCAGCTGCCTGTGGCCTCTACTCCCTGCGGGTCGCCTGCAGCTTTGTTGCCTTAGCTGGGGGGCCGACTCCTTGGCACTGCACCCTCAGGCTGGCAGGGACGTGGGCACAGCCTCTGCACCAGCTGCACATATCTCCTTCCACAGAGACCTTGTGCTGCGCATGTCAGGCGGGGCAGCTCTGATGCCAACTCCAGGCTGCCCTGCAGGACTGGTCGTGCAGTCACTCAGGCACCACGGCCCAGACAGGACATAGGACACAGACCCAATGAGGGCCTCCTGTGTGACAGCTGACCGAGACACTCAGGCGCCACCCAGGGAGCACAGGCCTCTGCCCCCAGCCTTCAGCCCCTGCCCAGAGCTCCCCAAGGACCACAGCCTAGGGACCTGGTCTCCTGAAGTGAGGCAGCGGGACACAGGTAGGCCTGCTCTTCCACTGACTGGGAGTCACCTCAAGGACAGGTCCACTCGGATGGCTGATGGAAGGACAGGCCCTGGGAATGTGCCCAGGGGTGGACACACCCCTCCTGCTGGCGAACCCCACCTCAGCTGTGCTTCCAGCCCACCCTCCCCCATGCCCCACACCCCAGCCAGACCAGCGTGCCACCCTCAGCACTGCCACCCGCAGGGGACCGGCTCACCATCGAAGCTGCGGAGCTGGGCGGCCAGCACGGCCTGCAGCGCGCGGCTGTGGTCCCGGAGCGCGCTCTCCAGCTCCGCGCGGCTGCGGTTGGCCAGGTTCTCCTCCATGGCGCTGGTGCAGCAGGTGTAGCCTTGGGGGCAGATCCGCAGGTGCTCGCCTGTGGAGAGGGGCTGTGTGAGAGAGTGGATGGCGGTGGCTGGGATGGCCGGGCAGACAGGCACCACTCTAGCCTGCTGCTGGTCTGCAGGCTCCCCTGAGGGTAGGGGTGCGGGTATAGTGTGGGATACTCTTGTCTGTGGGAGAGCTGGCCCCCTGCACACCCACCTGGCACCCCAGCCCACCCCACTGCCAATGGGCACCCGAGAGGGTCCATCTGGGGCCCCGGCAGAAAGCCAGCACCCAGGCCTGGGGGGATGGTGCCCGATACCAGGCAGAGGCCTGGCGCCTGCAAGGTGCCCCTGCCTGTCCACACTGAGGAAGGACAGGGAGGAGGCGGTCCAGTTCCCCAGCAGTCCAGGGCACCCTCTCCCCACCACGTGGCGCAAGTCAGTGGGGGTCAGCACTCCCTGCCAGGCGCCCAGACCTTCCCATGCCCCTGGGTATCCTTGCTGGAGCCCCCTCCTCCGCAGTGCCAGGCTGCTCTGCTGGGCGTCACTCTGGATGGCCCTGCGAGCCAGGCCGGCTTCCCGCATGGGGCGGACACAGGCTCAGCACAGGTGCTGCACCGCCTGCTACGGGATGGACCCTGCACCCTCAGGAAGGCGCGAGTCCTGTCTATGAGGCTAAGACACAGGAAGAGCG